ATTCTAGAAGCTTCTTTTATTGTACTGCATATGGCATTTCTGTGCCTAAAGCCTCTGTGCATCCTAAGACTACAATCTAACCCTGAAGAATGGATGTCTGTATCACTGGTTTCCAGAGCACCGTTGTCTTTTTCCTCACCATGTGTTAGTTATTGATGAATGGTGTAACTTAACCAGCAGTATTCTGTTCCTGGCCAATAGCTCCTGGAAAGATACATCGAAATATTCACGCAGGAACCATCTTCTGGCTTGTCTGGTTTGCTGGGCTTCCTGCTGTAGGCTGGGGAGAACTGCTGTGGAAGTAATCTTATCATGGAAGCAGCCTGAATTGCAGAGGGGAGAAATGTGTTTGTTCTTGGGTTGGTGAGTCCCATGTTGATGTAACCTTGGTCTTCAGCTCTTCTCCTGCACTTCCATACATTGAGTGTGTGGTAGCGTGGTCACCTCCTCTTGCTCTCCATGGAATGGCTGGATCAGGAAGGTACGTGGGTTCTCCCTGTGTTTGCACAAAGTCTAGCAAATGTTAAAGGTCTGATTTTTATCACGCTGTTTCATGACTTAACACTGGAATAAAACTATTTTCCTCTTTGCACAGTTTTAGTGGTATGTATGTTGGCTTGCCTTATTTCACATTTTTTGCAATAAATGAAGTAACACTTTATACAGAGATGAGGTAAATACACTCAAAACTGTCTTAGTGCTTCTCCAGACTGAAGTTCTTTGCATATTGTTTACATTTTGCTTCTTTTTATATCCTATGCCTAAAAAGGTTGCTTAGCATCACGCAGCTGAATTTCAAGATCAGCTTCATCTCTAAGTGATAGATATTTTTATATGAACACTGGTTACTTCAGCCCGAAAGTGGTACATATGTTGGCTTGCCTCATTTCAAGTTTTTTCCAATAAACGAAGTAACACTTTATACAGAGATGAGGTAAATACACTCAAAACTGTCTTAGTGCTTCTCCAGACTGAAGTTCTTTGCATATTGTTTACATTTTGCTTCTTTTTATATCCTATGCCTAAAAAGGTTGCTTAGCATCACACAGCTGAATTTCAAGATCAGCTTCATCTCCAAGTGATAGATATTTTTATATGAACACTTCAGCCCAAATGCATTGAGTACCTTAATGTTTTGATGCTGTGATGCTTCCTCCTTCCCCTTTAGTAATCCTTGCTTGCATAAGGGCTATAAAAGTTCATACTTTCCAGGTACTGCTGATACCTTCCAGTGTCACCAGACCATTCCACGGCCTCTCCATCCTCTTTTTCTTCCCCGGTGAAACGCAATCACTTAAATAGATGTTCTTGCCCCTTTTTGGTGAATGGACCATGGGCAAGGGGTTATTTTGGTTGTTCCTTGACGTGAGCCACTGCTCATTGGGATGGTCCTTTTCTTTCAGCCAGGCCCAAGAAAGCTGGTTTATGCAACGGCAAGATTTACGCAATCTTGAGGATGTTAATTTCTGTCACTTAAGAGCTGTTTTGTTCCTGTGCTGGTGTGGGATGTGGCAGAGCACACACGCTGGGCCACTGCTCATTGGGATGGTCCTTTTCTTTCAGCCAGGCCCAAGAAAGCTGGTTTATGCAATGGCAAGATTTACGCAATCTTGAAGATGTTAATTTCTGTCACTTAAGAGCTATTTTGTTCCTGTGCTGGTGTGGGATGTGCAGAGCACACACGCTGGGCCGCAGCGCGCTCCGCTCAGTGGAAAAATCCAAAAATAGTTCCCAAGTCCTCCTTTGTCCCTCTGGGCGCTGCTTTCCCAGCAGAGTTCTGGATGCCAGGGCTGGCAGCTCCTGGAGATCTGGGCAGATGGATGGTGATCCCTCTCCATGGGATCCTATGGCCGTTCTGGGACGTGCTGGAGGCGAAGCTGACCTGGGCCAGCCTTCTCCTGTGTGTGTCTCCACCTGCTCTTGGGAGCTGGCAGTGATTGTGGGTTTGTCTGCTTCAGCTATAACCCCTTAAGGGATGTTCTCCGTGGGCTGGGAGTGCACTCTCTATTTGAAATGATGCTGCCTTCCCCCCTCTCTACTAAATTGTGCATGTAGACTGTCTATTAATAATGACAAAAATTATTGTCAATATTACAGACATATTACATTGTCATATTATAGACAATATTAATGAAGATGCTGTATTGAGTGGTGGGTTTTGCTCTTTCCAAGCTGCAGAGCTTTGGGAAAGGGAAGAAACAAGTCTATAACCAGTAAGTTTATCCTTTTTTTTTTTTATTATTATTATTTTTTAGTAGAAGGTGGAGTCCCCACAGTTCACAGCTTCTTCAGCACGGGGTCACCAGGAGCAAGAGCAAACCTTCCGGCGTGCTCTCCTCTTAATCTAATGCACTTATTTGGGCAGCCAACCAAGAATGTGGTTGTTTTCAGCAGAACTCAGGGATCTCGGGCTCCTCAGGCGCTGTGAGGTTTTGGGGGGAGCAACTTGGGGAGGGAAACCGGCCCCCAGAGCGATCTCGGGCTCCTCAGGCGCTGTGAGGTTTCGGGGGGAGCAATTTGGGGAGGGAAACCAGCCCCGGGAGCTCAGTGGAGCCCTGAGGGTGCTGGGCAGGGTGGGTTGGGGGTCCCTGTGGGGTTGGGGGGTGCAGGTCAAGGCAGGGCAGGAGGAGGAAACCAAAACTCAGGCACAAATAACTTAATTTTTATTGCCTAGCTTCTAAAACAAAGGACAGTGCCACGCGGGGTGAGCAGTACCCGTACACCCAGCTACTGCCCCAGCCACTTTATTTTGGAAATCTCTTCTTTCAGGTCACAGGGGTTTCTCAATCATGGCTTTAGTGGGTTGTGACTCTTTTTGCAGTCACATCGTCCAGAGTCTTACAGGGTTGGTCTTAGAGAAAAGTAACAAGATCCTGCTCTAAAATCTAACAGGGGTGGCACCGTTCTCCAGCTTTTTGAGGAGATTTCAGATAGTTTTAGGATAATTAGAGAACAAGTCACACGAGGAGAGGCTGAGGGAACTGGGCATGGTTAGTTTGGAGGAGAGGAGGCTGAGGGGAGACCTCATTGCCCTGTACAGCTCCCTGACAGGAGGGTGGGGAGAGGTGGGGGTTGGCCTCTTCTCCCAAGGGAATCATGCCAGGAGCAGAGGAAATGGTCTGAAGTTGGGGCAGGGGAGGGTTAGATTAGATCTTGGGAAGAATGACTTTGCTGAGAGGGTGGTCAGGCACTAGAAGGGCCTCCCCAGGGAGGTGGTGGAGTCCCCAACCCTGGAGGGATTTAAGAACCAGGTAGATGGGGCACTTCAGGGCGTGCTCTAGTGCCTGAGATTATTGGGTTGTTTCTTGGAGGAGAGGAGGCTGAGGGGAGACCTCATTGCCCTGTACAGCTCCCTGACAGGAGGGTGGGGAGAGGTGGGGGTTGGCCTCTTCTCCCAAGGGAATCATGCCAGGAGCAGAGGAAATGGTCTGAAGTTGGGGCAGGGGAGGGTTAGATTAGATCTTGGGAAGAATGACTTTGCTGAGAGGGTGGTCAGGCCCTGGAACAGCCTGCCCAGGGAGGTGGTGGAGTCCCCATCCCTGGAGGGATTTAAGAACCGTGTAGACATGGCACTGCAGGGCGTGCTCTAGTGCCTGAGATTATTGGGTTGTTTCTGTTTTGGGGTTTTTGTTTTGTTTTGTTTTGGGGTTTTTGGTTTGTTTGTTTGTTTTTTTTTTATGGTTGGACTCAGCTAGTGCCTGAGTTTGTTGGGTTGTGTCTGTTTGTGGTTTTGTTTCTGGTTCTTTTGGGGTTTTTTTAATGGTTGGACTCAGTTATCTGAAAGGCCCCTTCCAACCTTGAAGATTCTGTGATTCTGTAATAATGTTTTTTTGTAATAAGAACACTTCCAAGAAGTATCTTTATACCTTTTCCCTTCCAGGGATCAATGGAAAAATTAGGAATCCCCCCCTTCTGCCACCCTCCATGTCTCCTCCTCCTTCTTTACAGCCAGAAACAGCCCTGGTGAAGATACCACTGCACTCCTGCAGCAGAGAGGAGAGTTTGAGAGCACCCTGGTTACAGCAGAACTCCTAACGCCAAGGGTGAGCACCAGCTGCCTGCTTCTTTCCTACCCCTTCCTGGGCTTTTTCCACATTCTGCTGAACTGAGGCCTCATCTGGGGCCCCTTGTGTGCCTTGCTCCCCCCATGTTTAAGCAGGACACTCAGGTGCCAGGGCCAGAAAATGGCAGTTAATGAGTTATCCAGCCTTGGAATGGGCTGCTCAGGGAAGTGGTTGAGGCACCATCCCTGGAGGTTTTCAAAAGACAGGTTGACATGGTGCTGGGGGACATGGTTTGGTGATGGTTTTTTTTCATCAGAGTTAGGTTGATGGTTGGACTAGATGATCTTGAAGGCCCCTTCCAACCTAGACAATTCTATGATTCTAAGAAAAGCAGAGCTACACAATATAGTTCATTAACCTGCTTCCCAGAGCACGCTGTAGGATGCTGCTCAATGGTTTCCGAGCAGGGCTGGGCTCTTTCTTGGGGAAGGGTAATGCTCTAAACTGGCCAGGGAGAAGACAAAGGGGTTTGCTTCCTCTGTGGCTCCAAGCATCACAAGGAGCACCCCAACGTGCACCCCTGTCCTCGAGGGCCAGGCCCTCCCTGCAGTGAGAGAGAAGCAGGATGGAGGAGATGGGCTCCGTGCTGGGGCATTGGCCACGTACATAGAGGGGATCCTGGAGCAGCCTCTCTTGGACATCCTGCTCCTCTCCAAATGGGCCTCAAACACCCTTCCCACCAGTGTGCTTCCCTGCAGCTGTGAAAAACAGGTATTTAAACTCTTCTGTGAGATCTCTCTTATTTTTCTCCTTACCTCCTCGATGTAAAGTGGTGGCTGAGCTCCAAGCAGGGGGAGGATGCGAGGTCTTTGCAGGGCTTTAGGAGAGCCCTGGCCCTTCAGGCTGGAGCCAGACTCCCCATGGATGGTGGCAGAAGATGTACCAGCTTCCAAGTGTGGTGCTGGGGTTGCATACTTCTACTGAACACTCCCCTCTTGTCCATCAGCACATCCTCAATAGCTAAGGGCACTCGTACAACACTAGCCCATCCCAACGGCCTGCAAGCAGGAAGCCCTGCAAGCAGGAGCCAACCTTCTGCAGCCCTAGGTCGGTGCTGACAACCTCTGCTCCCTTGGGCCAGTGCCAGGCACCTAGGTGAAATACTTGGAGGACACCCAGGAAGTTCTCTCCCCGGTGGCAAAGGCCACCTCCTCCTCCTCCTCTTCATCCAGCTGGAGGCTGCCAGAGGACAGCCGTACCCGGGCCATGGGTGCCCTCAGTGCCCGGCCGTACGGGGAGCCGTAGTCGGTGGCCAGGAGGTCGGGGTCGGAGTCGCTGGACTCGGTGCTGCTGCCCGTGTAGCGTTGGGCTAAGCGCCGTGGCCCCAGCCCCAGCCCTTGGTGGCCCACCATCTGCTGGAGGACACCCATTTTGCGGCTGCTCAGCGTGGGGCACGGCCCCAGCGGCCGGAACTCGGAGCCGTAGGGGAAGCGCAAGGTCTTCATGTCCGACTGGCTCCAAGAGCGCTTGGGAGGCTGCTCCTGGAGGTTATAGTTGGAGGAACGAGCCAGGGACCTGCTGTCCCCTGCCAGGGCCACGCTGGAGCTCATGGCCACGCTCATGGCCTCCTGGTGGCACTCCCTGTCCTGGGTCCCACTTGGGCTGCGCTGGAGGGGTTTAGTAGCCACGGGGCTGAGTCCACTGGTTGAGTCCTCACCAGGTGCCAGCGCCTGGCATGGGGGCTGTGGGGGTTTGTCCAGGTAGAAGAAGACATGGGGGGCCGGGGCAGCCATGGTTGGGGGGCACAGCACGTCCGTGTAGACCAGCGGCCGCTGGTTCACCTCCCCCATGTTGCCCACCGAGGTGCTTTTACTGCTCCCCGCCAACTGGTGGTGGGGCCGGAAGGAGGTTAAGGGGTTCCTGGGGCTGAAAAGGTCAGCAGGTTCCCACTCCCGCTCCAGCTCCAGCTCGGCGTAGAGCAGGGGGAAGGCCGAGGAGCTCTTGGAGTGGGGCAGGAAGGCAGGGGACGCTTCAGGCTTGGAGCGCTCCAGCTCGGTGGTGAACGTTACCTCCACGGCGGAGCTCCGGCTGTCCAGGGTGGGCTCGGAGGCGTGCACCCCGTTGGCATGGTAGGACCCCCGGCTGCCGTAGACGAGGCGCAGCTCCTCCACCTGAGCAGGGGCAGAGGGTGGGTGGTGGGTGGGTGCCCAGACCCCCCAGATGGGCTAAGCATGGCCAGCAGTGAGCTGAGGGTCAGCCTTGAGCTCCAGCTGGGGCTGCAACGCCAAGACTCCCCCCCAACTCAGCCCTGGTGCTCCCTCTCGTTGATGCTGAGGGGACATACCTGCTTGGAGACGTCCGTCAGGAGGTCCGGGGAGGAGCGACACTGCCTCTTGTCATAGCGGGATGCGTAGTCCTTCCTGCAAGGCCAAGAGATGAGTGGGTGCATGGCCAGGAGGGTCTTGTCTGCCCCCACCACTCGGGCACTGCCCTCCTCCATGCCCTCCCAAGGTACCTCTCAAAGGGCAGGCTCTTCATCTTCGCCTTCCTCCCGTGCTCCAGCAGCTGCCGCTGTGTCCTCCCGCTGCAGGAAGGGGGGAGAGGTGTGAGGAGCACCATCAGCCCCAGCCCTGGGCACTCCAGGGGCATTCCCCCTGGGCTGAGGCAGCAGGCTCCCCAGGAGAAGAGGCTGTCAAGCATCATCCCCTCACATCCAGCCAGGTCCAACATGAAAAGGGAAGCTCCGGGCCATCTCCATGCCCATCCTGGCTTCCCTCAGGACTTTACCTGTAGCGGAAACTGGAGCCTTTGCTGCACAGAAGGGCTTTGGGCTTTGACTTGGGCTCCTCAGACAGCCTGAAGAAGGCATGGTACTCCACACACGTCTTCCAGAAAGCCTTGCAGGTGTCCCGGCTGGCCATGGTGAACTCCAGCGTGTCCTTGCACAGTGCCTGCACGGCCGGAGACAAGCGTTGAGGGTGCAGGGCCAGGTCCTACCATTAAACCCCCTCACCCCTTCCAAGGACCACACTGGGCTGCTGGCAGCTTCAGGCAGTGCAGTGTCACCCTGCTGGGGACATGGGGGTGACACATGCTGCGTTCAAGGGGAAGGAGCACCACCCATGAGCAGCAGAAACAGATTTTATTCAAAAAATGGGGGATTTTTGGAGTGGCTGATCCTTGGTCCACAGCTCCCGGGCCTGGCAGCTGCCCGCAGCCCGGTACTTACAGAGATGTTTGCATGGAGCTTGATGAGAAAATGCTTCCTCTTGAAACTCAGTTTGCGGATTTTGGACCAGTTGAATGTGTTGATCTTTGTGTTGCCCTGCAAAGGATGGACACGGTGGTTACAGCAGGATGGGGCAAGGGAGGACTGCAAAGAGATACGATGGGTATTTCAAGCTGGCAGGACACTACACGAGCCCTGAGCTCTCAGTGCTGCCGGGGCCGGGGGAAGGGATGCTGGGGTTTGGTGTATGACCCTCCTCTCCATCAGCTGGTCCTAAAAGTGGAAATTGAGGTTCAGAGCTTAACTCTGCTTCCTGCAGCTATCTGTAAAACTCCAGGATCCCAAGGTAAACCCCACAGAGGCAGAGAGTCCCACCTGTCCCAGCTCAGACATCACAAGTTAATGCAGAATCACCCCCCAAAAAGAAGACCCTCCATCCCCTTTGCTCAGCTCCCACACCTTCAGAACCAGCTCAAGCAGCTGCAAGTGTATCTTACCACACATTAGCATTATTATTCCACCTCTGCTGTGAGGACAGGCTGAGAGAGCTGGGGTTGTTCAGCCTGGAGAAGAGAAGGCTCCGGGGAGACCTTAGAGCAGCCTTCCAATATCTGAAGGGGCTACAGGAGAGCTGGGGAGGGACTCTTTGTCAGGGAGTGCAGTGACAGGACAAGGGGGAACGGTTTTAAATTGGAAGAGGGGAGATTGAGATGAGATCTCAGGAAGAAATTCTTTGCTGTGAGGGTGGTGAGAGCCTGGCCCAGGTTGCCCAGAGAAACTGTGGCTGCCCCATCCCTGGAGGGGTTCAAGGCCAGGCTGGATGGGGCTTGGAGCAACCTGGTCTGGTGGGAGGTGTCCCTGCCCAGGGTTGGAACTGGATGATCTTTAAAGTCCCTTCCAACTCTAACCATTCTATGATTATGCATCAATTTAGATGCAGCCACACAACACCTGTGTCACCCCAGGACCATGAACAATTGCATTACTCCGTGCTGCAGCACCCAGACCCTCTCAGCTTTCTGGGAGAGCCCAGATTTTAATGGGGCTCACGGGGTGCTCTAATCATGCACGGCTCGGAATAAATAACTGGGTCTGGCAGCGCTAATTATGAACAGCAGATCCACAGTTATATTTTTTTTTTCCCCTGCTCTGGCAAGACGTTCCCAGGTTGGAATTAGCCGGTGTAGGAGGCAAGTGCTGCTCCACGCCGGCTGCGAGGCAGCCTGTATTTATTCTGTGGCTACACCGTGATTACAGCATTATGCAACTGCACAGACGTGGGGCGGCTGTTTTCCCTGGGGGATTACACAGTGAACACACGTGACGCAGCTGTGTAGCCCGTGATGGTTACATGGCTGCACTCCCCGTGACAAGGGCCAGTTGGGCTGGGGTGGTCACGGTGGCACACAGCCTCCGGAGGTGGAGATGGTGGGGCTGAGCCCCACAGCGATGCCCTGGAGCATCACCTCCATGCCTAAGGTCTGCGGGGTGAGGGGGTTGTGTGTGTGTGCTCTTTTTTGGAGGATCTGGGAGGGTTTGGAGCACACCTGGGAGGGAGGATAAAGGTTTCTCCATCCCATTCACCCAGAGGTGATGTCCCTGCCCCGAGCTCACCCGCAGGACCAGCACTCCCATGTGTGTCACAGCCAGGTTGATCTGCGTCCCCTCGCCGTCGCTGGCGGGGTGCAGGCGGATCCCATACATCTCCAGCTTCCTGGCCACGTCCAGCAGCTGAACGTCTGACTCGGCCGGCGTCTTCCCACTGGAGACACAAAGAGGCCAGAAAGTGACAAGAGTGAGAAGGAATTCGCTGAAAACGAGCTGAAAAACCACCATTGAGCGCGGTGGCATCACCACCACCCCACCACTTGTGGGGACAGCCCTGTGGGTGGGTGCCGGGTGGGTGCTGTAGGTGGGTGCTGAGGAGCAGAGCAGCCCTTACCCGTGTCTCTGGTGGTAGCGCATGATCTTGTTGTCCAGGTACTCCTGGTTGGGCAGGTACCTGTGCGTCGCCAGGTGCTGCTGGTCCGTCTCCTTGTGGAAGTCGCCCAGCTCGGCTGCGGGGGGGAGATCATAGAATCATAGAATGGTCTAGGTTGGAAGAGACCCTTGGGATCATCGAGTCCAACCATCTACCCTACTCTACAAAGTCCTCCCCTACACCATGTCCCTCAGTACCGCAGCTAAACGTCCCTTAAACACAGCCAGGGATGGGGACTCCACCCCCTCCCTGGGCAGCCTGTTCCAACGCCCGACCACTCTCTCCATGAAAAATTCCTTCCTAATGTTCAAGGAAGGAATTTTTCCTTCCTTGATAGGAAGAAGGGTGGGTTAGTCTGGAGGGGGGACACCGCGGGGGAAAACCCTCACCACACGGCCAAAGCAAAAGGGGGGTCATCCCCCTGTCCCCAGGGAAGGGGTCCCCTCCCCGTGGGCCCAGGCCTGCCCTTACACTGCAGCAGGAGGGAGACGAGCAGCGCCGCGCTCTTGTCGCTGCAGGGCAGCCGCCCCAGCGCCAGGTCCTTCTTGATCTGGAGGGCGAAGAGGTACCTGTGGAGGGGACAGGATTGTGCCTTGAGGAGGGGAGGGCAGGCTCAGCCGGGCGCTGAGCTGAACCCCGAGGGCTCTGCCACAGGGAGCTGGCTGTCCCCACACCTCTCCCTGCCCTCACCCGTCTCACAACCCAAGAGAGGGGGGTTTGCGGGGTCCCAGGAGGAGCACTCAGCCCCTGCAGAGGGCTGCTGGTGCCACCACCATGACCAGTATGGCCCTGCCATTGAAATCCCCATCAGTAGGTTTCAGAGTTAACATTCCTTTATGTTTTGGAGGGCATTTGCGTCTCTCATGGGTAATGCTTTGCAGAAGCCCTGTCTTAGTTTTACTCTTAGCTCCTGTTCACCATTCTTTCTCTAAAACATAAGAGCTAACAATGCCATTTTTAAAAATAAAATAAAGGTTCTCCTTCCAACTGAAGAAGAATGGCTTGAGGCAGGGGCGAGGCTGAGCAAAGTCAGACTCTGTGACCAACTGCTGATGTGTTTGGCAGCAAACAACTGGCAGCCTCTTAGGACAGCTGATCCTTCAAGTGGATTTTGTTTAAAAACAGGATCAAGAAAAGATAACTCTCTCAGATTTAGGTTTTTAAAGCACAGAGCTCTTTCAATACTTAGAATAACCACTGCTAGAATAACCACAGAGAGATTTGGGTGGATGAAGACAAGCAGTTAAAGGCATGCTCCACAATTGCAAAAATATAGACCTGGTAAGAAAGTAATAGAACAAGTACCCTACCTGGTCAGCTCTTCTCTCAGATGGCCAGGGTCCACTGGGAAAAATTTCACCATAAATTTGAAAAGAACCTCCTTAGGATCTTAAAACACAACACCTTCATAAGTTTTCTTTTACGTGTCTTTTGGGAACATTTACAACTCTCTTCACACATCCTGTCACCTTACAGAGTAAATTACTCTGAGCCCTTACAAATCAAGGCTGGAAGCCCTGAACATCAGGGACTCCAACCAGTCTCCAAAACCCAGCCTGCCCAGGACCCAAATAGAAGTGAAAAGGGAATTTGATAGCTAATTAATACTAAAGAGAAAATGCCCGAGCAGTTCTTTAAATGGCAAAGACCCCTGCCAGGAGGGGGGGTTTCCGTGGGGTGGTGCCACAGGTGCTTGCTTGCCTGGAGAATGGCCGTTGGTGGGGATGGACATTAAATCAAGCCCTCCAAGCACTTGGGATGCAGCAGCTCCATAGGCCACTGCTTGGGCAAAGCTCTTCTGTGGGATGGGTGAGCATGAGCATCCAGGCATAGGGCAAATAGCACAGAGGGAGGTCGGTCATCTTGTAGGCAGTGACTCTCCCAGGACACCATGGGATGGTTCAGGTTCTCCTGGAGGGACAGGAGCCTGAAAGGGCAGGCCCGAAGGGCCATTAAAGAAGAAAGTGGGGCCTGAAACTATCCAACTTCTGATACATCCAGAAAGGGGAGTCTTTTTACAAGGAAATTCATGCAGCTGCCCCCGCCAAGCCGCCAGGCTGTTAGTGGCTCAGGTCTAGATGCCAGATTGCAAAGGCAGTGGTGTTTCTACAGGATTTTATATAGAATCATAGAATGGAGTTGGAAGGGACCTTAAAGATCATCCAGTTCCAACCCCCCTGCCCTGGGCAGGGACACCTCCCACCAGACCACGTTGCTCCAAGCCCCATCCAGCCTGGCCTTGAACCCCTCCAGGGATGGGGCAGCCACAGCTTCTCTGGGCAACCTGGGCCAGGCTCTCACCACCCTCACAGCAAAGAATTTCTTCCTGAGATCTCATCTCAATCTCCCCTCTTTCAGTGTAAAACCGTTCCCCCCTTGTCCTGTCACTGCACTCCCTGACAAAGAGTCCCTCCCCAGCTCTCCTGTAGCCCCTTCAGATATTGGAAGGGGCTCTAAGGTCTCCCTGGAGCCCTATTGACCGTGATGTCCTTACAAACATTCCTACCCAGCCTTGTGCTATGAAATGGGCTCAGGTAAATGCTGGAAACCAGCCTCCTCCCCCATCCCTCCTCCCTCCAAGTCCCCAAGCAATACAGGCTGCACAAATGTGCCTGCACTAGTCACTGGCAGTGATTTAGAATAATTTTATAGTCTCGAAATACTTACTTTTGACTTGCTTTGTTATGGGTTTTAGTGGTTCCAACCAGACCTGAAAGAAGGCAACGAAGAACTGGGTGGATAAACAGCATAAGAGAGAGGGGAATAAAAGCAGCAGCATCATGCTAGGGCACAGCACAAACACATTGGCCAGCTCGGCTGCTGGGCAAGCCATCCTGCTGGGTAGCCCCACGCAACCCCACGGGCCATGGCCACCATCAAGGCTTTGCCAACCGGCTTCTGGTTCCCCTCATAACTCCCATTTTCAGGACAGGGATTTCAGGACAAGGGGTTTTGGACATCGTGGCAAAACTCTGCATTGAAATTTTCCATCTGGGAGGTGGCAGAGAGCCCCCAGCCGTGCAGGTGGTCGCTGCAAGGCTGGGGCAAGGTGCAGCACCCAAGCCCCATGCTGAACCCACCTGGTTCCCAGCCTGGCTGCAAAACTCCAGCCCAAAGTATTCCTTCTCCACCAGGTTGAGGTGGCTGCAGGTGAGGTTGAACAAGCCTTTTCCGCAGGATTTTTGCTAGCAGACAAAACACACGGCAGAAGGAGCGGGTTAGGCAGTGCCAACAGCAGCGGTGAGGGCATCTCAGTGAGGTGGGGGAGAAGTTTTAGCTCCCTGCCTTCACCCCGAGAGGAGCTGTGGGATTTTGCCTCATCCTGCTGCAGCCAAACCTTACTCCATAAGTGCTGCTGGCTTCAGCATGTGGGACACGAGGACTGCGTGCCATGTTCCCCTGTCCCCTCTTGGAAATCTGATTCCTTCTCATCACTTCTCTCCTTTATTAAGGAGAAATTGCTAAGGCCCCATCCCTGGAAGTTGCCCAGAGAAGCTGTGGTGGCCCCATCCCTGGAGGGGTTCAAGACCAGGTTGGAGGGGGCTTGGAGCAACCTGGTTTGGTGGGAGGTGTCCGTGCCCAGGACAGGGTGTGGAATTAGATGGCCTTCAAGTTGCCTTGCAATCAGAACCATTCTATAAGGAATGTACACCAGAAATGAAAGGAAAATGAAAGGAATACTGCTTTTGGCTCACCTTTTGCAACCATCCGTGTCTGGGCAGCTCTGTCCCTGGCAAGCGCTCCCCAGGACAAGCCTGGACCAGGGGTGGCCATGGCAAACGTGCTCAATTAGGAGCAAACGGGAGCACGCCCCAAACCTGCCCAGCAAGCCCATGTGCCCCGGCAGCCGGATCGCTGGGGACAAGCTACAATTATGGTTCATGGAAATCAACAGCAACAGGACCCTGCAGAGATCCTGCGCCTTGGGCCCCGGCTCATCCCTGCACTTCAGCGACGTTAATTAGGTGGCACTACACACTGATAACTACACCAGGCTGTAGTTACTCCCGGTAAACAGAAACACTCGGTGTGTGTTTTGCTTGACTTGCTGCTGTGCTGTGTGATGAGGCTGGGGAGCAACCCGGGGCTTTGGAAAATGCTCCAGGAAGCAGCAGAAATGAACCTGGCAGTGACCCACCCCTACACAGACCCTGCTACTCCTTTATCAACTTGTGAAGGGCAACAAAGATGATGGAGGGACTGGAGCATCTCCCTGATGAGGAAAGGCTGAGAGAGCTGGGGCTCTTGAGCCTGGAGAAGAGAAGGCTGAGGGGAGACCTTATTGATGATTATAAGTATCTAAAGGGTGGGTTGGAGGATGGAGCCAGACTCTTCAGTGGTTCCCAGTGAGAGGACGAGGGGCAACGGGCACAAGCTGGACCATGGGAAGTTGCACTCGGATGTGAGGAAGAACTTGTTTGGGGTGAGGGTGGCAGAGCCCTGGCAGAGGCTGCCCAGGGAGGGTGTGGAGTCCCCTTCTCTGGAGATCTTCAAGCCCCGCCTGGATGCTCCTGAGTGATGTGCTCTGGGCAGCCCTGCTTTGGCAGGGGAGTTGGACTGGAGGATCTCTAGAAGGTCCCTTCCAACTCCACCAATCCTGTGATTCCATGAAAAACAGGCTAAAAATGAGTGTGGGTTAGTGCAAAAGCAAGCTGGAGCAGAGAGGCCAGGTTAAGCCGGGTGCTGAATCACGGCATTTGGGGTGGGTGGTGGAGGTGAAGGAAGGCTGCAGCTACCCCTGCCAACAGCTGCTCCCAGCAGGGATGGGAGGGACCCCGGTGGCTGGTGGTGATACACACTAATAACCACCTTTCACGGCTCCTCCTGGGTTGGAATTGCTGGTTCTGTGCTGAAAGGCTGCTGAAAAGTGATAGCGTAATAACAGCATTGGCTCTGCAGCGCTCCCGGTTGTCCTCAAAATTACTAGATCACAAGGGTAATTAAAACTATTATATATGTTTCTTTCTAAGCTAGAATCTTCTAGCATGAAAGGCCTTGGCCTTTGCCAGGCAGCCAGGAAAGACAAGCATTTCTTGCTGGGTTATTACCCACCTCATGTCTGCTGGGGGAGACCCTCTCTCCCCCAAGCCCGGCACGGGCACCGCTGGAGACAAGTGGCCCCATCCCCAGGAAAACCTGCTGGCTGGGGAGACACAGCCCTGCTGATGTGCAGGATGGCTTAAAAGCAGAGCCTTTCCTCTCACCGAGTGCTGCTTGTGGGTGTCCCATCCTGGGCATGGGGGAGGACCCAGGTGCCAACCCATGCCAGGGTACGGTTGTGCTCAGGCAGCATGGTGTTGGGTGGAAGCAGTGGTTGATGCACTGGAGGAGCACAGGGCAAACTCCTGGGTTGGAATTGCTGGTTCTGTGCTGAAAGGCTGCTGAAAAGTGATAGCGTAATAACAGCATTGGCTCTGCAGCGCTCCCGGTTGTCCTCAAAATTACTAGATCACAAGGGTAATTAAAACTATTATATATGTTTCTTTCCAAGCTAGAATCTTCTAGCATGAAAGGCCTTGGCCTTTGCCAGGCAGCCAGGAAAGACAAGCATTTCTTGCTGGGTTATTACCCACCTCATGTCTGCTGGGGGAGACCCTCTCTCCTCCAAGCCCAGCACGGGCACCGCTGGAGACAAGTGGCCCCGCGTCCCCAGGAAAACCTGCTGGCTGGGGAGACACAGCCCTGCTGATGTGCAGGATGGCTTAAAAGCAGAGCCTTTCCTCTCACCGAGTGCTGCTTGTGGGTGTCCCATCCTGGGCATGGAGGGGGACCCAGGTGCCAACCCATGCCAGGGTATGGTTGTGCTCAGGCAGCATGGCGTTGGGTGGAAGCAGTGGTTGATGCGCTGAAGGAGCACAGGGCAAGGCAGGAGGGTGATGTGTGGGGCTGGCCACCCCACGTCCCACCCTAAATGTGCCTTTGATGACATTGCAGGGCCAAGGTTAGCACCCACAGGCAGAAATCCCTGTGTATGAGATGGTGGAAAGGAGAGGCTGCGCCCACCGAAAGCAGCTGGGACAGGGTAAGAAAGCACGAGGCACCTCCAGATGCAGAGATCACGGCACGTGGCACATGGGGACACGCACACCCGGCCCCAAAGGATGTCCTGGCACCACTTTCAATGCCACAATCCAATGGCAAAGCCACGATCCTGCAGCATTCCCTGTAGCTCAGGCTGCTCCTCCACCCAGGTCTGTGGGTTAGAGGGAAGACCATGGGATTTTGTGTGATCTTTCCCCATCACACTGGGAGATGCCTCCCATGCTGGTGTCTTCTGCATGGCCACAGCTGACATGGACCAAAAGCCTCGAGCCCTGATGCCCTCCGTGCCCTCACTGGACCAACTGGCATACAACCAGCTCTGCACACCCCCTGTCAACACATTCCCACCTTTACTCATCATAACGGACATGAGACCACGGGAGACCTTCTCCTTCACTCCGCCCCAGCAATTAATTTTTCTGGGCTTGTTTGGTTTGCCTTCTCTTTCTTTTTTTCCCCCTTTCCACTGCATCTTGCCCTGTGGCAAATTTCGCTAGCAGAGATGCCCAGGCTTTGTCTGCCCAGGCTGCAAAGTGGTTCGCCCTCTGGGAGGGCTCCCAAGCCTGACCAGGCTCAAGGCTGCTTGGTTTAAATTTGTTTAAAAGTCACAAAGAGTGACTTTATCAGTGAGAGCACGTGCCAGGTCACAGCTCTGGGTACCCAGGGGTGGGAGGAACAAGGTGGGCAGCTTTGCAATACGTCCTCTCAGTGCAAGGAACCTGTTAAAGGTGACCTGTGACTGTCCCAGCACCTGGTCACTGGGGCCAGGGGTCCTGATGCCCTCCCAGGACCAGGCACAGGGCTGGCTGGCATGGCTGGTCTGGGGCCTTCAGCAGGGAGGGCACAACAAGGGACATTGTAGTGACAGGACAAGGGGGAACAGTTTTAAATTGGAAGAAGGGAGATTTAGATGAGATCTCAGGAAGAAATTCTTCGCTGTGAGGGTGGTGAGAGCCTGGCCCAGGTTGCCCAGAGAAGCTGTGGCTGCCCCATCCCTGGAGGGGTTCAAGGCCAGGCTGGATGGGGCTTGGAGCAACCTGGTCTGGTGGGAGGTGTCCCTGCCCAGGGCAGGGGGGGTGGAATGAGATGATCTTTAAGGTCCCTTCCAACTCTAACCATTCTGTGATTCTATTTGGAGATGTAGCAGACCCCCCACTTTCCCCTGCCCTGGGCACTCAGACCTGGGTCATTGCTGCCATCCCAGGCACCACCTCCATCACCCAGCAGAAGGAAATTCTGGGAGTCCAGTGGCCACGGGGAGCATCCTGGCTGCCAGCAAGGATGCGGATGGAGGCCAGCACCCAGCACTGGGAGAAAAACCCATTCCCATGCAAAGCCAGACTGGAAAGGAGCCCTGGCTGCAGGTGCCAGCAGCTGAGATACCACAGGGGCAGGTAGGGATGCACACGGAGAGTGTGAGGCCGAGGGAGAATCAAACCCACCATGTTTTCTCCCTTTTGTTCTTTTCCCTCCATTATATGAAGTACTGCACATTCAGAAGAGCTTTCCAAAGCCGGGAGGGGATTAGGAAGAGTTGCTTGAAATATCTGCTCAAAACTTAGCCCAAAGCAGTGCTTTTACAATGGAGAAGTCACTAATTCAACCACTCATTTATTGTACCCGCACATCCTCAAATGCACAAAATGCCTAAAAGGGGTTTCCAATAGTGTTCCATGCTAAAAAAGGAAATGACCAGGAGCTCTTCTAATGGAAGCTATTTGCTGCAATAACATGTTGTGCAGAGCGAAAGTGCTGTAAGTGTTTCAGGCAAATAAGAAAGCAGGGACGAAAAAAAAATGCAGCAACATTGTACTAGCAGCATCTTTTAAATTGTCTCTCCACTCTACCCTGATCTAATCAATAAAAAAAAAAAATTAAAAAAAGGCATTTGAAAATGACTAGTCTCATTTCTCATTTTTAAGCTGAATCCAGGTCGAGGATACATTATTTAAATTGAATCAAATAACTTCCATACTGTGCCAAGGAATGGAATCACTTTACAATCCTTTTGTGCAAAATGCTATCACAAAGACAGAGCAGTGTCTCCAAGACCGAGCAGTTCTCAGGCTGTGTGGTAAAACCAGAGGACAGGACAGGCTAAGAAATGTAATAGAACTCGAAAAAAAAAAATTATTTTACACACCATGGTCCCATAGAAGATGCAGGTAAGGGCTAGAACAGATCTACTTGAATTAGCTAATTCAATTAGCTACCGTGATTATCAAATCCTAACCAACAGTAAATGTTCAATCACACTTGATTTATTTGTAACACAGAGTTGAGATATATCTACTTTCAGTTATCTATATACATACATGTATAAATCTAACACCATAGATATTGATACTTAACATATAAAACCTATTTCAGAGCTAGCATTTATTAAATCTGAATTATTAATGACAGTGTTTTGTTGGACATTGTCATGCAGAAAATAAGATACAGTGTTTTTTTCTCCTCAGCTATTCACAAAACCACACCATTTTCTTTTTCAACTGAAGCCCAGGCAGAGATACATGCAGATGTTTCTCACCGGGGGTAATTTTGTTAAAATATGCTATTTTTATTCTCCTCCCAGCTTTTTCTTTCTTGTTGAATGCTCATACTGGCAGCCAGACAAACGAGAGAAGAACTCGACACTTGCCAAGAACATAACTTTATATTACCTGATTTCCAAAAGATGACATCAGATAAGTAAACACCGTTCCTCCCTCTTTATAAATAATGTTAATAACAAGGGAGAGCATGAGCGTGTTAGTGCCAAGAGACACTTAGCAATCAGTGCTATAACCTCTTGCTTTGGATTTGGGGTTTTTTTTCCTTTTTTTTAATTTGATTTAAAGCTGAAAACCTGAAGCTATGAGACCATGCAATCCTTCAGAGCAGCAATGACTTCAATAATTAGCACAAAAAAAAAAAAAAAAAAAAAAAAAGCGTGATAAGAATAGGATACCCACTTACATCAACTACGAAGATCTTCTGGGAGTCATCCAGAAACTGGACTTTGAGGTGCAGCATCCTCGAGCGGGCGGCTGGGCGTGCGGGAGGCGCAGGAGCCCTAGCGATGTGAGCAGCACGCCGGGAAGGCAGCCCTGACTCCTCTTGCACACATAATTCCCTCCTCTCAGCTGGATGGATGGAGAAGGCTGCAATCACAGCCGTGGAGGGGAGGCTAGAGCAAAGGAACTGAACACCTTTAAAAAAAAAAAAAAAAAAAAAAAAAGTTTAAAACCCCCCCAAATTGCTGCCTCCGCTGGTTTAAATAGCACCACTGCATTCAAGGGTATCTTCCCCCTGTGAGTTATGAGTTTATTAGTAGGGGGGAGGCTCTGCAAGAGTGGCTGAGATAAACACAAAGTGTTTGCAGCTGGTGTGAGGGCAAGGTGAGCCCATGTGTTGTACCATGGGGTTGGGGAAGAAGAGCTGGGCAGGTCTCCTGCCAAAGCCACCCAGCGCTGCCGTCCCCCAGGTCTGGTTAAGGTGCACCAAAGACCAGCTCTTCGTGGCTCGCTCTATGAGGTGGGCAGAGAAGCTTCTCTCCACTGAGTGGACGTGTCCAGGCTGGGCTGATGCACGTCTCTGGAGGCTGGGAAATGTTTCCAGCTGAAGTTGAAACCAGGTGGATGTCCTTCCTGGGAGCACCTGCTGCTAATTCCCAGCAGAGCTGCCCCTCACGGAGCATTTGGAGGAAGGCAGTGGTGGGGCAGGAGCTCCTGCTTGCAGGAGGAAATGCACTGAGCGGTGCCAAAAGGCAGGTGCTGGACTGTCATAGGGATTGTTGTTGCTGCTGCTGGAAAAAGCCACAACCACACGTGATCCTGTGGGACCCAGAGCGATGGAAATGCATCCCCACAAACCGAAAAAGCCATGTTAAGGGCTGCAGAGATTTTGCTCGTTGCTTCCTCCCAGGTTTCTACTGAAACATCCACTGTAAGTCACTCTGGGCTATTTGCTGTGGTCCCTCTTATGCTTCCTAAGGATGCCTGAGGAAATCAGGGCAGAGCCTGTCAGGGCATACCCATGGCTTGCTGCTGAGAGGAGAAATGTAGATCTGTTTAGCTACAGAAAAAACTTGTTAGTCTTCTACTAACCAGGGAAAAAAACCCAACCAAACCGAAACAGGCATAATAGTTAAAGCAAATCTATTTTTCCAAGTGAATCTGCTCCACAAAACAGCTGAGCTCCTCTCCTGCCAGCGGCAGAGGGGGGTGGCTGTACCTGGTGTGCAGCACGGCGTCCGAGGACCAAATTGTTATTAGCTAATTCAATTAGCTACTGTGATTATCAAATCCTAACCAACAGTAGATGTCCAACCACACTTGTAAGAAGGTCTATTTGTAACACAGAGTGGAGATATATCTACTTTCAGTTATCTATATACATACTTGTATGAATCTAACACCACGGATATTAATACTTCATATATAAAACCTATTTCAGAGCTAGCATTTATTAAATCTGAATTATTAATAGTGTTTTGTCACTGTGGGGGTCTGAGATCTTTGTGTCATGGGAGGTGTCATGTACAAACTGCCTCGGGAGGCTGAGTGCCCTTTCTCCCTGCGGTTTTGGGTCTTCGTGCCGTCAAATGTTGCTGGGCGTCCAGGAGGAGAGCGGCTGTGAGACTCCAAATATGATTGCAATTCCAGACACCCAATAGATAGACTGTTACGTGCAAAATTTTCTTTTAAATCCGATTAAGATATACTCATGCCACACTCCCAAAGTCCTGAAATATAAATTTATTTGGGTTTTTATTCTGCGTTCAACCTGTGCAGAGCCATGTTCACTTTCGTGGGGAGGAGCACAGCCCCACCAGGACCAACCACCACTTGCTTCCAAGCTCCATCTCGTGGTGGTTGTCCCCAACGACAATCCATAGAATCGTGGAATGGTTAAGAGTTGGAAAGGACCTTAAAGACCATCCAGTCCCACCCCCTGCTCTGGGCAGGGACACCTCCCACCAGACCAGGTTGCTCCAAGCCCCATCCAGCCTGGCCTTGAACCCCTCCAGGGATGGAGCATCCACAACTTCACTGGGCAACCTGTTCCATTGTCTCATCACCCTCAGGGAGGCAACCTGTTCCAGTGTCTCGTCACCCTCAGGGGTGAGCAACCCAGGACAGCAATAACACACTCTACCGTGCTTTGTCGACTTTTCTTCCTTTTTCAGATTTAACACGCTATGTGAAAACTACAGCCAGGCACTGAAGAAGGCAGTTTGCCGTAAGCAGATGATAGCACAGGCTGTACAAGAAACTAAATAATAGCTTGAGCCTGATACCCCAAACACGTTATCGCATTTTCAATATGTCACTTGAGCTCTGCTGTTACAGGGCTATATAAAAAGCACTCAGTGATGTTTAATTCAAACAGACACTTTGAAGATATGAGAAAGAAATTTATACAGAAAAAGAAAGCCTCGTGAGTGTATCAAGTCTGAACTTCAGTAAGGCCTTTGACACAGCCTCCCTCAGTGTCCTCCTGGAGAAACTGGCTGCCCATGGCTGGTTGGGAGCACTCTCTGCTGGGTGAAAAACTGCCTGGAGGCCGGGCCCAGAGAGCAGTGGTGAATGGAGATAAATCCAGTTGGTGGCCGGTCACGAGTGGTGTCCCACAGGGCTCGGTACTGGGGTTGGTTCTCTTCAACATCTGTAGCGATCTGTAGGGTTCTGTAGGTGTTTGTAGGGGTCTGTAGGAGTCCATAGGGGTCCGTAGTGGTCCTTAGGGGTTCGTAGGCTTCCGTAGGCGTTCATAGGGGTCTGTAAGGGTTCGTAGGGGTCCGTAGGGGTCTGTAGAGCTTCGTAGAGTTACGTAGGGGTCTGTAGGGGTTCAAAGGGGTTGTAGAGGTCTGTAGGCATTCCTAGGGGTTTGTAGGGTTTCGTAGGGGTCTGTAGGAGTCTGTAGTGGTTCGTAGGGGTCTGTAGGGGTCCGTAGGGTTTCATAGGGGTTTATAGGCATCCGTAGGGGTCCGTAGGGGTTCCTATGGATCCGTAGGGGTCCATAGTGGTCTGTAGAGGTCTGCTGAGGCCACTTGTCTGAGGTTCAATAAGGCCAAGTGCCAGGTCCTGCACAGGTCCAGAATATGGCACCATATGGATGGTAACTTGCGGGTTAGATACGATGCTGCTGAACCTGCTAAATTTGTTGCACAATTTACTCGCTCTTTGTATTTGTATGTGATGGTTTAAACGTGCTATTTTTGTATGGTTTGGCATTCAGATCTATAATATGATTACTTGGATAACGGCTGTCTCAGGCATCACGTGATGGATTCTATTACTGATTACACTTTTGGCTTCATCTGAGAAATGTTTATTTTGCCCTTGAATGCTTATGCCAAAAAGCTAGGGAATGGAAACCTTTTGGGCTGTTTAGAAAACGAATGTTACTTTCAAAAGAGAACGATTTTGTTGCTGGTACTCCTGAACGTGTTGTGGGGGTGGTTTGTGTTAGACATGGTTGCAGGAGTGGGTGTTGTGTGACACGTGCTGCTACTACTCAAATCACATGGGCCAATTCACAGCCGGCACGGACACAAACCACTCCCCAAGCTACCCCCTGACCTGCTACTTAAGCTCCAGCAGAACTGGTGCAAGATGCCTTGGTGACCAGGAAGCAGAAAAGGAAATCATCTCGTTCCCCGGCCCCTTATGACAAAAATCCAGGACAGGGTCCTTCTCAGGTGGTGTGAACACAGGAGGAGGAGTCCTTCTCTATGAAGGATTTGTGAAATATGAGGAAGGACTTCAGTCATCAAGAAGGGGAGACACTTATCTGCTGGTTGATCTGACGCTGGGACAATGGGGCTGATTCCATAGACATAGAGGGCAGAGAGGCTAGGCATCACGTGATGGATTCTATTACTGATTACACTTTTGGCTTCATCTGAGAAATGTTTATTTTGCCCTTGAATGCTTATGCCAAAAAGCTAGGGAATGGAAACCTTTTGGGCTGTTTAGAAAACGAATGTTACTTTCAAAAGAGAACGGTTTTGTTGCTGGTACTCCTGAACGTGTTGTGGGGGTGGTTTGTGTTAGACATGGTTGCAGGAGTGGGTGTTGTGTGACACGTGCTGCTACTACTCAAATCACATGGGCCAATTCACAGCCGGCACGGACACAAACCACTCCCCAAGCTACCCCCTGACCTGCTACTTAAGCTCCAGCAGAACTGGTGCAAGATGCCTTGGTGACCAGGAAGCAGAAAAGGAAATCATCTCGTTCCCCGGCCCCTTATGACAAAAATCCAGGAGAGGATCCTTCTCAGGTGGTGTGAACACAGGAGGAGGAGTCCTTCTCTATGAAGGATTTGTGAAATATGAGGAAGGACTTCAGTCATCAAGAAGGGGAGACACTTATCTGCTGGTTGATCTGACGCTGGGACAATGGGGCTGATTCCATAGACATAGAGGGCAGAGAGGCTGGGAACCCTGGCCAAAGATGATTGGGCCAAGATGATTGGATGATATTGATAAAGTGATTGGGAGAAAGGCAAACACTCTCACTCTCTGGAGGTGACTGCTGTCAACTGTAAAGAGCAGGTATCCCTCTAAGGATGATATCAAATGTAATCCAACCAAATGGACCAGCACAGAGAAAGGTGTCAAGTTCTTGAGGGAACTGGCTGTGTGAGAGGTGATTTATGGTGATTGGAGATTTGGCTGTGCAAGAGGTGATTTATGGTGACTGGAGAGTGAATCACAGAATCACACAGAATGATATGGGGTCAGAAGGGACCTCTGGAGATCATCTAGTCCAACCCCCTGCCAGAGCAGGTCCACCCAGAGCAGGTCCCACAGGAACGTGTCCAGGTGGGGTTTGAATGTCTCCAGAGAAGGAGACTCCACCACCTCCCTGGGCAGCCTCTTCCAGGGCTCTGCCACCCTCACAGGAGAGAAGTTCCTCCTCATCTTTAGGTGGAACTTCTTATGTGCAAGTTTGTGCCCATTTCCTCTTGTCCTGTCCCTGGGCATCCCTGAAAAAAGACCAGCCCCATCCTCCTGACACCCACCCTGT